AGAGGAAGTTGTTGGCTCAACTGAGATCTTCATCAGCACCGCCAGAACTGGCAACATGGGCCATGGTGGCAGCACACAACACCATGTCCAATATTGGTGGCTATAGTCCTATGCAATGGGTATTTGGTCGCAATCCCACTGATGGCGATCGACTCCATGATGGACCCGATTTACCCTACTGGGCCGGAATGTCATCAGAGGAGAAGATGCGACAACGTCTTCAACTGCGACTTGATGCTGGACAGAAGCACCAAGAGTTCACGCTGAACGAGAAGATCAAACAGGCCAACAACACCAGGATGCCCAACTTGGTGAATTACCACCCGGGCGACCTTGTCTTCTACAAGCGCTACCAGCCACCTCAAGACAAACAAGAACGTTCTCACATTCCACTTGACATTCCACGGAGGCGTGTGGCTCGTTGGTATGGTCCTGCGAGAGTGCTGGCCATGGAGACCAGAGTCACCTATGATGGAGATGGACGATCTCCCAAACAGATCGCTTGGATCATTGCCTCTGGAAGACTGAAGCGGGTGACTTCCCAACAACTTCGCTTTGCTTCAGAACGAGAACGTGTCGTTGCAGAATCTTCCAGCTCTACCTTGGCTACACCTTGGACGTTTGGAGACCTGACATCGCTGATCAACAAAGGAGAGTTTGATGATGTGACCATGACCCACAAACAAATGGTCAGAGACACTCAGAAGAAGCGAGCCGGTCCCATCACGTCTGGAATTGATCGCTCTGGACAACAGAAGCGGATCTTGGAGGAAGAGCAGGAAGAAGAGGATGCAATGTCAACGGGGCATGGCGAGAACAAGATGCCACGCCTTGAGGATGAGCAAGCTGAGGAGTCCGATGGCTATACACCATCAATTGCTGACACTGTCAAGGACGATGTTGACATTGACCGCCTGCTCAACGACCCCGAGTACATGCCATTTTCTTCACAGAGCTCAGGTCCACTATTTCAACATCCTCAGTTCTTGGAGGCACGTCGCCGCCACGAACGACTGGAACGACCTCACCATGTACAAAGAGGAGAATTCCTACGACATGGAGAAGTTCCAGGTTCTACAGGAGCGCATCACGCTCTCTATATGGATGTGGATGAGACCTTGCCTGCCGGTGACTTCGAGGATTTGGTTTTCGCCGTCACCATCCCCGCTCCAAAGAATGAGGACGAGTGGCGGGCAATTGTGAAGGACCCTAGACGCTTTGTGGCGAAGAAGGTGGCGAAAGGTGTCGAAGTGAGTTGGCAGAAGCTGAATGTACAACAACGTTCAGCCATGACAGAAGCAAAAGCCTTGGAGATCAATGAGTGGCTGACTTCACGTGTCTGTGAGGGAGCAATTGGCAAAGTACCACAGGATCGGTTGATGAAGATGAGATGGGTGCTGACGTTCAAGAGCACCGACGATCCTGGAACCCTCAAAGCAAAAGCACGTCTGGTCGTGCTGGGCTTTACAGACCCGGACGTTGGATTGGTCAATGTCCGAAGTCCTACCCTCAGTCGCCGTGGTCGACAATTGATGCTCCAAGCTACCAGTCTGAACAATTGGGGCTTTCTGAAAGCTGATGCAAAAGCTGCTTTCTTGCAAGGTGGTCCTACGCAAAGTGTCAGGAACATCTACGGCAGACCAGTCAAGGAGCTGAAGGAAGCACTGCAACTCGAAGAGGATCAAGCTGTGAAGTTTCTGAAGTCCGCCTATGGGCTGACTGTGGCACCAAGAGACTTCTACCTCTACGTGGCCGAGATCCTCAACAAGCTTAAGCTTTCCAGACTGCAAACGGAACCATGTATCTGGCGACTACGAGCTCCAGATCTTCAAACCCAAGATCTACGAACAATTGGCCTTGTGGGAGTACACGTGGACGACTTCCTACTCTGCGGAGATGAGAAGCATCCAGCCTGGGTGCAGTTCTTGGAAGACTTCCACAAGTCCATGAAGTGGAGCCCATGGGAGACACCGCCTCTGGTGCACTGTGGTGTCCAGATTGAGGAGACCTACCACAACGGCCTCCCTGGTTGGTTCTTACACCAGAAGGATTTTTGCAGTGGCATTGGACAGGTGATTGAGGACGGCACCACCAAGGACCTAACAGAATCCGAACGACACCAATGCCGTGCAGTCCTTGGGGCCGCCCAATGGAGAGTCTACCAGACCGCTCCCCACCATGCTGCCAAGCTCAGCCATTTGCAGAGCGTTCTGCCCAAGGCCGACCGGAAGATCATCGCCGAGGTCAACAAATTTGTGAGGGAGATCTTTGGCCAGAAAGACATTGGCCTGAACATCTACGACCTCCAAGCACAAGACCCAGATGATCTGGTAGCGGTGGCGTGGTCCGACGCTGCATTGGCCAACAGAGTTGACCTTACAAGTACTGGTGGCATGCTGATTGGCTTCGTTCACCGGCGCATGGTTGATGAAGGACAACGTGGCCCTGTGAACGTGATCAGTTGGGGCAGCTCTAAGCTGCGCCGTGTATGCCGCTCAAGTCTGGCAGCTGAGACTCAGGCACTGGCCGAGGCGGAGCAGGAGCTGATGTTCGTCCGCATCCAGTGGCGGGAGATCCTGGGCGACGATGTGATCCTTCAGGACCCAGCCGAGACGGCCAAGAAGGTTCGCGGAGTTTTGGTCACCGATGCCAAAGCCCTTTATGATGCAGTTCTTCAAGGTGATCTGCCTTCCTTCAACGCGAAGGACAAGTACTCGGCTTTGGAATTGCTGGTTCTTACCCAGAATCTGGAGAAGCAGCAGACGAGCCTAAGATGGGTGAATAGCTCTCAGCAGTTGGCTGATGGCTTAACGAAACCCTCCGCTCAAGATGCTCTTCGTGCCTTCCTAGCAGGTGGACAGCAGTGGAACATCTTGCACGATGAGACGTTCACTGCGGCGAAGAAGGTGCACAAGAAGCTGGCGACCAAGACTGAGGATGAGGGGCCAAAAGGGCCTAGTGACCCAACGTGGCTAGACCTTGTAGTTCCAGCGCGACGTGTGATCACGGGGCATGTGAGTTTGACAGCTTCAGGTACCGATACCCCTGCATCCATGTACCCTACTAAACACCACAGCTGTCAGGTTGATCACACGCCGTGTTTTCCTTTGAGCTTTCCCTTCCCCCCCTACTCATGTCTTTCTCCCCCTCATGTTTCACAAGTATCGGTTATCATGTCCCCCTCGCGTAAGCACTTATCCCATGAGATGGCTAATGACGGAAGGCTGTCGTCGATAATTTTTTGCTCTAAAGGACATGTCTTTTCCCTCTTAGGTGCTAGAGCCTCATTGCCCAGGTTAATGGCAAGTAACTGCATCTTGCGAAGGAAGCTTTCAAGAGAAAGAGGACCTTGGTTCGAGTTTCAGAAGCGACGTTGTGATCACAGGGGCATGTGAGTTTGCACCAGCTCATGGTAACAGGTACCCACCTGCATCCATGTACCCTACTAAACACCACAGCTGTCAGGTTGATCACACGCCGTGGCTGTCTGGCTCCGGTGCCCCTTAGAAGCTTCTTTGGCCAATAGCGGCTTCATGCCATAGGCGTGCGGTGGCAACTGCACTGACTGGCCGGACGGGCCATAGCAAAAGGGTGGAAAAGTCCGCCGTGCACAAATCGAGAAGTGTAACTGTGCCTTTGAAACTTGTGGCTGAAGCGACTTGGCTACCGACACAAAAATATACTCCATTTTAATTGGCCCCAGCGCCCCAAGGTTGTGTTCTTGAAAGGTGCATCCCTTTTTCACTTAAATTTGTGACCAAGAAACACGCATCTAAAGAAATCAAGCGAAAAAATGCGACAAAATGATCTGGCAGCTTGGTGTCACAAGACTATGTGCCATTTTAATTGGCCCCAACCGCCAAAATTTTGTTCTTGAAAGATGCATCTCTTTTTCACTAGCGTTTGTGATCAAAAACAATGCATCGTAAAAAAACCGAAAAAATCGAAAAAAAACCTGGAAACTTGGTGTCACAAGACTATACTCCATTTTAATTGGCCCCAAGGTGCATCCCTTTTTCACTAGCGTTTGTGACCAAGAAACGCGCATCTAAAGAAATCAAGCGAAAAAATGCGACAAAATGATCTGGCAGCTTGGTGTCACAAGACTATATGCCATTTTAATTGGCCCCAATCGCCAAAATTTTGTTCTTGAAAGGTGCATCCATTTTTGAGAAGCGATTTGAACCAAAAACACGCATCTAAAGAAATCAATCGAACAAATGCGAAAAATACTCTGGAAACTTGGTGTCACAAAACTAAATGGCCGCCCTTCCCAGAATATGTTCTTGAAAATGCCAGCAATTGTTGAATAACCTTTCTGTGGCCAGAAACAAACCTTGAAAAGAAAAAACAAAAACAAAGTAAAATAACAAACTTGTATCTTAGCAACCTTTCCAAGGTTTTCTCCTTGAAGTTTTCTGGTCCAGTTTTCCACACCTTTTATGGCCCAAATCAGGCAAAAAATAAACAAATTATTGGGCTGCTTTGGCTCTTTGTTTGTGCTTTGCGACAGTATTTGGTTTTGCGTTGGTGCCTCTTTCTTCCTGTAACTTTCTTTTGACCTTCTCTGTTTTTCTCTCAGCCTGTGATTCGTTCCTTCTTGTGTATTTCGCTTGCGCACGCTCCTTCCGCGTTTTCCATCTTAGATGCTGACAATTTAATTTGGAGACTCATGGATTTGGTGGTATCCCACTTCTTCCTTTTTCGGACCCCAGGGACCTGTGACACGGCATATGATTGATGTCCGCATGTTGCGCATGCGTTGTGCAAATTCGATCAAGTTCAACCTTTGCCACTCTGGTTGCATCCCTCGCTGCAGCAAGAAACCGAAGTGACTTTTCATGTTCATGTTGACAGCTTCATAAGGGCAACTTGTAGGCGCGATTTGGTGCCATTGCAACAGCACATTTTTGCTATGTGAGTTTTTGGGCGTTTCATGACGCACGTGAGTTCACTTCAACATCTTTGTTTGATTTCATGTGGATTCGCACCGGCCGCGGATGCGGCGAAATGACATTCTGCAATGGTTGCGGGCGAACGAAATTATCATTGATGATGATGATGCGCAGTTGACAGATGAACATGGGCTTTCTGCAGAGAGTCGTGGCCAACCTCTACAGCATGATCAGCAAGAACAAATTTCTTCGGAGGAGAACTGCGTCGGTGGTGATCAGCATGAGAATGAGGATCCTGAGTTGAGTGGTGAACAGCGTTTTTTGGCAGAGGGTAGTGACCCACCTCCACAGCATGATCAGCAGGAACGAGCCTCTTCTGAGGAGCCTGGCCTTGGTGATGCTCAGCATGCACTTTCTCAGTCGCCTGAGGAGCGTAGCATTGGTGATCATCAATGCGAAGAGCTTGAGTTGACTGATGCAGAGCGACCTTCTGCAGATGTTAGTGACCAATCTCAACAGCATGATCCGCAGGAACAAGTCTCGCCTAATGAGCGCGGCCTTGGTGATGCTCAGCATGAAGGTTCAGAATTGCCTGATGCTCCGCCAGGTATGGGTGATGCAGATAATCAAAATGATGCTGAGTTGACTGATGAACAGGGACCTTCCAGCTCCAGCTCCTCACGGTCATCGTCGGAAGTGGAAGCGGAATCCGAAGATGAATGCCCCTTGCACGACCGTGTTGACAATTACAGAAGTGCGGCCAAAGATGATCGCAGACAAGTCTACATGTGGACCTATGCCCGAGCACCAGAGATGAGCCGAGAAGATGTTGCAACCGTCATTACGAATGCCTATGCTGCAGCAGGTGTGCAGATTCTCCACTACTCGGTGTTTCGTGAGCATCACCCGACCTCCCGGTCTGAGCTAGAGCGGCAGTTCCATTTCCATATCATCGTAGAGAGCGATGAGAGACACCGATGGCGAGCAATTGCGCGGGTTCTTCGAAGCCAAGACCGCCCCATGCACTGCTCGGCGGCCGGCTCCGGCCGTTCGGTCTACTGGGGTGCATTTGCTTACTGTTATGTGCCCAGTGCCAAGAAGCCTCGGGAACACTTAGACACTTGTTACCTCTTGAGTCGTGGGCATCCAGACATTTTGCAACGGCTTGTGAAAGACAGACGTCCAAAGCGTGTGAAGCCATTAATGGAGCTTGGAAATGTTCTTCGACAACAAGAGATTCGATCCTTGGATGCTTTCTATGCCTTTGCAAAAAGGCAGGCGGATGGTGGCGACGATCGGTGGTTGAGCGTGGCCTATGGGACGCAGGCGAAAAGACTGCAGGAACAGATTGCTGCTGTTTGGGCTGTCGAAACCGCAGGCAGAAGATTGGAGGACTTGAACTGGCTCCGCTTTGTGTCTTGCGCACTGTGTTGGACACTTGAACATTTGAATGCAAGTGGAATCGTATGCATAGAAAGTGTTTATGAATTCAAAGAACCTGGAATGGAGTTTCCAGAAACCCACAGATTTTTTCAGCGAAAGTTGCGTTCTGTGAACTTTACTTTTATGGGAAACTTTCATAGAAAGTTTCCGCACTGTGACGAACCGATTTGAACTTTGAACTTTGGACTAAACTGAGTTTAGAGTGGCTGCTTTTTTGTAGCTGAGTGTGTAATTGTGAATAGTCGACACGTCGTTTTGAGTTTGTTGGTTGACAGGTTAACATCGAGACGGTGGTTGCCAATGTCCCTCAATGATGACAACTGACCGAGCACCCGTCATCATAGTGAGATGACAAAAATGGGTTGCCGGTCGTCTGAGGGGGCATCAGAGACCGCCGTGTCGATGTTGACTATCTCTGGTTAGTTGAAGAGAGTTTTTTGAGAAAGATCTTCGGATCTTGAACGTTTAAACAATTGTTGCAGTCAAGCTGTATGGTTGCTTTTGTCTCAAAGCCAAGGAAACTGCAAAGAAGTAGTCTGGGACAGTCACGTGGTTTAGTCCATCTTGTTTGTCTTGCTTGTTTGTTTTGCTTTGGTTCGTGTTTTTGCTACCGCACCTCTGAGAGAGCGTCCAAAAGGGGTTGAGCTGTTCCGAACCTGAGAGCTTGTGTGTGGGAACCGCGTTTGCGTAAACTTCGCTGTGCGTAGGTTGTAGGAACTGCATCTAGGTGTAGGTCCTGGGATTTACGTAGAAAGGATTTTTGAACCAACTTGGGTTTGAATTTTCCGCAAAGTACCTGAGGGCCATGGTCCACCAACATGGTTCCACCAAACATGAAGCGGCCCGCATCCACACACAACTGAGCAAAGGCACAGCAGGGTCAACCACGCAATATCGCCCATAAGGAGGAGAGCTCCCGGTAATAATATCTCCGGAACTGACTTCCGAGCTATTACACTGCTTATCCACGCTACCCGACCCATGGCCCCTGGCCAAGATCACTATAGATATGGAGAAACCAAGCCAGTGGGTCTCCAAATTGTGCCGACTCTACTTTGCTGGCGAATATGCCAGACGAACGGTAGCTCGGCAACACACGTCCCAGACATCGAAACAGCGCTCAAGACGGTCCAGAAAATCCTCCCAAAGCTTAAGGCAAGAATGATTGAATTCCTGGCTGAATGGCTGGCCTTCCTGATTCCAGCCACACACGTATTGGAAGTGAGGGCATTTCCTTTATGTTCCTCAAAGAATACTGGTTCGAGAATATACCTCGGCTTGAAGGTCACGGCATCTTTTGACCGATCTGAATCGTACACACGAGTCATAGATGGCCAGGTGAGATGCATCACCCCAGAAATCAAGCCGCAGAACCTACAGGTCATCTGGAACGTGCAGTGTATCACTGTGTTTGTTCCGCATATGATCCCTCCTGTCTACCACAGCCTGCGTGGGGAAAGCATCAAGAACACAAGTTCCGCAGTGAAATACGTGTCCAGTCTGTCCGCCCCACCTGGTTCGAAGACTTCGCGGTGCCCAAAAGCAGCTGCTGTCGCAGACATCCTCCACGCCCCCTGGCAGTCCTTTCATCCTTGCAGCGGCTCAAAAATGTCCCACCACAAACGGGCACCTTGGCACAGAGAGCCCTGGAGGAATGGGAGCGCACCTTGTGAGAAAACAAGGCATTTGCTGTGAAAGTTTATGTCCCTTACAGGGTGCTTGGTTGGTGCGACCTGCCATTCATTAAGCATTTAGTAGTGAAGCTGGACTATGGAAGATGTCTACAGTCGACTCGAGCGGTTTCGATATTACTTTGTAGTATTTGAGATTGCAGGAGTTGGTTCGAGATATCGATCTATGAATCTGAGTGAATCTACATGAAGTTCAGGACACTTTGTGTACAGTGTGAAGCCTTATTTGGCTTTATGACTCGAAGCGAATGCTTCCAGAAGCATTCGCTATGCAGTTGAGTCGGGATGTTATGACTCCATCGATTTCGGAAGCTCTTTGACCTCTTAGAGGTGTATGAATCCGACTGAGATGTTTTTGGATCATCCATCTCGATTCTTGACATGGCTTCGTACATCTGAGATGTTGATGAAGCCTGTTTTGTTGCCACTTGCGAGTATTTGAGATGCTTTGGCATTGTGAGGACAATGCCTACGTATCTTATTTGAGGTACTCCGGCATTGTGAGGACAATGCCTACGTACCTTATTTGAGATACTCCGGTATTGTGAGGACAATGCCTACATATCTTCCTTGGCCTCTGGATATTTGATCTGGAAGTCTACTTTGTGATCTTTGCATCTGTGGCCTACAGCTGACGTTTGGTTATTACAGTAAGCGAACTACTTTAGCGCTATGACAGGTTATGACTGGACATTGGCTGGAAAGTTAAGCAGATCATTTGAGTATGTGAGATACTCCGGCATTGTGAGGACAATGCCTACGTATCTGGTTTAGCCTCTGGGTGCTTGATCTGGAAAGCTGTATTATGATCTTTATGCCTCTGACTTGCTGCTGACTTTTGGTTGTGACAGTAAGCGAACTATGTTAGCGCTATGACTGTTTACGACTGGATATTGGCTAGGAAGTCGAACAGAGGATTCTATTCTCCTTGGTAGTTTGGAACTATGAGAACACATCTCTATGTGAAAGACTGTTTTGGAGATGGAACATGAGGTTCCTATGTTGCTCTGTATTGCGAGAGGATTTTGTATAGGAATTTGACTGGAACATTTCGTTCTTAACTAGCCGTGTGACTAGTCTAGACGTTTGGTAGAGACTAGTAACACCGGCTAGCTGGTTACTTGCGTTTGAATGAGAACCAGTTTGATTTGAGAACTTTTGGAGATGTTTCTGATGTTTTTGTGACTAGGTGATTTGTATATCATAGCAGTTCGGAATTGTTTCAACAACCTTTAAGGGAAGGTTGTGTGTTGGAAACCTGGAATCGAGTTTCCCAGTTGAGACATCGGCTCAAGGGAGTGGTGTCGAATGTTCCGAAGCGAACTGAACTGCAGTATCACTTAGGGCATTGGAAACAGTAGCCACACTTGGACTTTGTTGCTTCCCTTTGGGTTTGTGGCCGTGTGCCTGCCCTGGATCTTGTTGACCTGTCCTGTTGTGTGGCGTCTGGAGAGAAAAGAGGGAGTCTGACGTGCACTTAGGAGTCGGGGTGGAACAAGTTCCTTTCTTTGACTTTGTAGGGAAGTAAGTAACTGCGGAGTTGCAAACACAGTAGGTGTTCACTTCTGGCGTAGTGATCTAACGAAAGCGTTGATTTGGGTACACGAGAGGTGTACTTGGGTTTACGTTTTTCACATGGTAGCGGAGCCCTGAAAAGGGCTACCCACACCATCTTCCGCTGACCCTTGTTTGTGACAAGATGCTAAGGACATCATCTAAGGTGAAATTGGGATCTTCGATATTGGAGCTCCGTGTTCTATGCGCAGAGGCAGAGATGAGCTCGTACTAAGGTGCACCTTTTCCACAGGAGGTGATGGTCTGAAAGTATAAGGTCACTAGGGAGTGTGAAGTTGGTTTGAGTCTGTTTGGGTTCAGGTAACTTTGGGACCCTGTTTTATGTATAGATTTCTACGGATCATGAGGATCGTGGGACTGTTTTATTTTTGAGATCCGGGAGTAAGCTAAACAATCGGTTTTTAAAATTAATTTCTTTTATAAAAAACTATGATTTTTTATGAAAAAATATAATTTTTTATGATGAAATTTATGATTTGTTTTTTTGCCTGAAAACAGTTTATGATTTTTTATGATTTTTTTCTTTTTTTTTATGATTTTTTCGTTTTTTTTAAATATTTTTTTTAATGATTTTTTTTTTAATGTTTTTTTTTAATGTTTTTTTTGATTTTTTGAAAATGTTTTTTTTTATGAAAATTTATGATGTTTTTATGAAAAATGTTTTTTTTTTAAACGGTTTGTTTTATGTTTTCTTTATGATTTTTTAAAATGTTTTTTTGGTGTTTTATGAAACACCATGTTTTTTTTTAAAATGATTTTTTTGATTTTTTATGATTTTTTCATGATTTTTTTTTGTATTTTATGAAAAAACATGTTTTTTTTATGAGAAATATATATGATTGTATTTATGATTTTGAAAAAATGGTTTTTGTGTTTTATGAAATATGACAATTTCTATGTTTTTTTATTTAATTTATTTTGTTTTTTCATGATTGTGATGATTTTTATGTCTTTTTCTTTTTTATGATGTTGTGTTTGATTTTTTATTTTTTTGTTTTTCTTTTCTAAATAACTGACTGGAGAACATTGAGCGAACAATAACTTTGCATGTTTTTTTATTTCAAACACATGGAGAACAGCAAACAAACAACAACGTTTTTTTATTTCACACACATGGAGAACATTGAACAAACATTGACTTTGCATTTATTTATTTATTTAAATTTATTTTGGCGTTGGCTTTAGGATTGGTGGTTTTTTGACCACTGGTGAGCGAAAAACGAATTGAACAGCAAATTTTGCAGATATCTCAAACTGCACCAACTGCTGCATGATGGCAGGCAGTGAGGTGTCAGTGATGACTTACGAACAAAAAAACAAATTATGTGGTGTGTGTGTGTGGGGGGGGGGCAGGGCGATGCCAATGTTGGGGCTAGTTGGTCAACGAACAGTGTCACAATTTTTTCCGGGGCTAGTGGCCAGCAAGTAACTTGCATCCAGTTGCTAGCAACAAATAACTAGCAACTAGCAACTAACGACAACCAGTGACTAGCTGCGAGTAGCTTAGCTAGCAAGCAGCTAGCTAGCAACAAGCAACAACTGGCAGCTAGCAACTAACAGCTAGTTAGCAGCAGTAAACTTGATTTTTTTTTTGCTATGACAAAATTTGTTGAGCAACTATTTGCTGTAAGGAGGCAACTGACTAAACCTATGCTGTGTGATGAAAAACCTGGGAAGGAAACATGTTTAGGCCAAACAGGGAAAGTCAGTATTGAAACACTTCACTACCTTCACTACCTTTAGGGTTCCAAGATTTCAGGCCAGCAGCAAGGATCCAAAACCCTAAACCCTAAACCCTAAACTCTAAGGAGCTCCGGGGGCAGGGTGACACCCTGTAGATGGGCGCTTAAGGGGTCATAAAAATTCATAAAAAAATCATAAAAAAATCATAAAAAAATCATAAAAAAACATAAAAAATCATAAAAAAATCATAAAACTAAATACATATGTTTTTTTTATGATCAATTTTATGATTTGTGTGATTTTTATGTGATTTTTTTATGATTTTTATTTTTTTAATGATTTTTTTATATTTTTTAAAATGATTTTTTATGTTTTTTTTATTTTTTTTATGGATTGGTTCAGGAAAGCAACGTCCCAGGCTCCAGGCTTGAGGCTCTAGAATCTCCGACCTGAGGCCTTAGGCTCCAGGCTCGAGGCTCTAGAATCTCCGACCTGAGGCCTTAGGCTCCAGGCTCGAGGCTCTAGAATCTCGGACCTGAGGCCTTAAGTTCCAGGCTTGAGGCTTTAGAATCTCGGACCTGACGCCTTAGAGAATCTCGGACCTGACGCCTTAGGCTCCAGGCTTGAGGCTCTAGAATCTCCGACCTGAGGCCTTAGGCTCCAGGCTCGAGGCTCTAGAATCTCCGACCTGAGGCCTTAGGCTCCAGGCTCGAGGCTCTAGAATCTCGGACCTGAGGCCTTAAGTTCCAGGCTTGAGGCTCTAGAATCTCGGACCTGAGGCCTTAGAGAATCTCGGACCTGACGCCTTAGGCTCCAGGCTTGAGGCTCTAGAATCTCGGACCTGAGGCCTTAGGCTCAGGCTTGAGGCTCTAGAATCTCGGATCTGGGGCCTTAAGTTCCAGGCTTGAGGCCCTAGGCTTTAGGCCTCAGGCTTGAGACCTTTGTGACTTAGCGGGCAGCTGGCATTAAAGAAGTGAATACCGAGAAAAGAAACTAGCCTTAGGATAGGTCACAAATTTTGAACTGATGATGCACCTTGCCCAGCACAAAGCTGGACCCATGAACAAAACTCTGAACTGTTTTTTTTAGGAACATGATGGCGTTTGGTTTCTATGGATTTGACATCAAACAAAATTTCTTACCACAGGCCTTTGGGCCTAGAACCATTATTGGCCAAATCCTGGCGACGTTAAAGATAAAAATAAACACATGAACAATTAAAAAAACATTAACAAAGACAAAAAACAACATTGAAAAAAATCATTCAAAAACATTACAAAACACAAATCATGAACAACGTACAAAATCAAAAAAAAAACAAAAATCATACAATTCAAAAAAAACAATCATAACAAATCATTAAAAAATCACAAAAATCCGTATAAAAACACCAAAAAAATCAAAACATATTAAAACACATTAAAAAAATAATATAAAAAATAGAAAAAATCATAAGAAAATCATAAGATTCTTCAAAATATAAAAACCCATAAAAAACATTTTTTTAAAAAACCATAAAAAAATCATAAAAAATCCTATTTTTCATAAAAAATCATAAATTTTCATAAAAATATCATAAAATTTCATTACAAAAATCATTTTCAAAGAATCATAAAAAAAATCATTAAAAAAACATAACAAGTGAAAAAACAAAAAAATCATAAAAAAAATCATAAACAAAAATCATAAAACAATCATAAAAAAAATAAATTTTTTTCAAATCATATCCTAAAAATCATAAATATTCATAAAAAAATCATAAAAGAAAATAATCAATAAAACAATTGTTTAGCTAATGTTTTGGATCTCAATTTTATTTGGACGACTCTTCGTTTGCAAGTTGTGCAAGATTCGGCAGGGTTTGTTCTTGGTAGGCTGGACAGAAGTGGATCCATAGTAAGCTGTCGACAGCGGTACCTGTAGGAGAACATACAGAGTTAGTCAGCCCTGGGCAGGACGTGTGACTTGGACGGAGGAGTTGAGTCTGTGGTGACAGTGGATTCTGTCAGAGCAAGTTTTGTATTTTTTTACCTTGTGTAGGTACGTTGTCTGTAGGAGGCGTCCATGTGGTCTTGGCAGTGTTCTGGTAGGGGTCTGTGTCATGGTGTGACGTATTGCTAGCGTAGGGTCACGAGTGCAAGGCTACGCTGGAGTATCTGAAGATGTTTGCATGGATGGAACGTTCCTGGACGTAAGAATTTCGTTTCGGCAGTAGAAAGTGACGGTAGGTAACTTGCTGCAGAGGTGTAACTTGGAAATCCCTGAGGGTGGGGCAGCAGATTGCCAGGTTTGACATCCTCGGACACTGAGGTATTGGACCAAGGTGCAAAGGTTGGGAACCGATAGTGTCAGGTATGTGGTTCTTGTGTACAACTAAGGCACGCCTTGGGTCTTGAGCTCAGTTGGTATTTAGAAGTGTGATAAGAGAAGGTGTGTCAGGTGACTGAGGTGAGCATGTGAAGAGCGCTTTCTGAATTGTCATAACAGTGTTACTCAATCTGAGGATTTGATTTGTTTTGTTTGGAGCCCAATACGCATGAAATTTTGTTTTATTTGAGTACATTGTGGATGATTGAAGGTGGAAGTCATGCTTGTCACTGATGACGCCAAGTATGGTTCAAGAAGGTCAGAGGTAGCTCTGGCTGCTATGTCTAAACAGGAGTCGACATCCGTGACGTCTAGCACTAAGCCATCAGTGATTAAGGAGAGCTTCGACAAGAAGGGCCAGTCTATCAAAGCTGCGAGGCGTCGAGCATATCCCATTGATGCGGCTACCTGTACCGCATCTGGTGTCATTGATGTGGATCGGAGGCGTCGAGAATATCCCATTGACGCGGCTACTTGTGCTGCACCTGTTGTCATTGATGTGGATCGGCGACGTAGAGAATATCCCATTGACGCGGCTACTTGTGCCACACCCGTTGTCATTAATGCGGAAGAGGGTATGGCGGGCATCAGAAGGGAGCTACCGTTGATCGATGCTGCGGCAATGTCTATATCTGGGAAGGAAGGTCACGGGGATGCACGTGCCGACTCGGATGATGAGTTGACGAGTGTGAGTGACGTCCCGGAGAGGACAGCTGAAGAAGACTTGCTCAGAGAAGTTGGGCTGAGTGATCCTAGTTAGGCCATAGTTTGCTGGTTTGGGAGGAGACGTCAGTAGGAATAGCTTTTGTGCTTTGCGGTTGGCTGCCTGGAAAGAGATAACTCGTTTACCTCCGTTTTGTTGATGTCGGAGCTTGAGACGTTGAACTGTCTGTGACCTAGAGGTGTATAAGGTCGTTGGCTTAGAGAGGTAAAGCTGGAAGCGACAAGGAAAGCCGTTGGGTCAGTTTTTGTGATGTCTGCACATGAGAAGTGTTGAAGTTTTTGGGTTTCCAAGAATAGGAGCTTTGGATGAACCTCCATTTTCGTTTCCGCAGCTGTTTGTGACTGTTTTGTGTCAAGAGTCCTGAGACCGTGGCTGTGTGTCCGTGTTTCCAATATGGAGTCGATCAAGCTCTGGATTGCTTTGACGCCTAAGCAGCTGGAAGAGTTGAATAAGGGCAATGAAGTGTTTCCAGATGAATACTCCGGCCGTTTTGGTCTACGTTTGGGACCTAAGGAGGCTGTGGATCGTGCTCAGTACTTTATGGATTGGACACCTGAAGGTTTGAAGGGTGAGTTCCATCAGAAAGACTATGCGGTGATGGAAATGGAAGTCTTTGCGCTCGGGTACCTTGTGAAAGTTGAGAGTGGAGTCTTGGAGAAGACTAAGCCCACTGAGTATCGCTGGCATGGACCTGTGAAGTGCGAGGAGTGGGATAGCAACGGGCGCTTGTTGTACCGCATTAGTGAGATGGCTGTCAAGTTCATTTAACTGGTCAGGGTCCAAGTGTAGCGATCGGGCAGACCATGGAGTATTAGGAATAGTTTTTGAATCACAGTTTGAAATGCGGAAGGGAAAGAAGAAAGAGTTCCTTCGGCAGCCTGGAGGGTCTGCGTTGCTTATGTGATGGATGGACAGTTTGCATTGCTGTAGGGAAACTTTGAATTTGGATATCTGGAATTGTCATGCAGAGTTGGAGATTGACTGTAGGGTCATGGGTCGTTGGTTCAGAGGGACTGTATGCGGCAAGAATCACAGTCAAGAGATCAGCCTGTGTTGAGATTTGCAGTGATGTGTGTTTTGTTTCACTCCTTTTTGTGGCATGTTGGCTGTAGGTCATGTGTTGAAAGTGACTTGTCGATTGATTGCCTGGAGAGGAGCGTTGAGAATATTTTGATAGGCTGAGGTTGGGAGTAGGTCCTGGAGGCACTAGTGTAGGTGTTTGGACTGTGGAGACTCCGACAACTTGCCTAGAAGTCTTTGGAGATAAGAGTTGAGAAATCACTGGAATGTGAGTGGCTCAAGCGTTTAAGCTCAAGGAAAGTATCGCCACATAGTCTATACCAGGAATGGACAATCGCGACAACCGACCACTACGTGAAGCAATGGAAGAAAGGTACATTGAGTGGATTGTCGGATTGGAGAAGTTGACGAGTATCTTTCGGATAGTCCAGACTATGCTTGTTCTCATGGAATGGCTTCTACCTTTGCTTGAAGATGTTCGTTTGAATGCGAACCAACGGGACATCATGACAATGTTCCGTGATCATCTCTCAGAATTGGAGATCGAGATGCAAAGGCAGATTTTTGAGATGCGTGAGCGTATCTTAGGCCGATATCAGAGGTCACTGCAAGGTTGAAATACCTGTGACCCATTTCTGTGTGATCAAGTTGCCAGATGTAGTCAATAGAGTTTCTGGCAGTATTGGTATGCGTGAGAGAAATAGGTGAAAGTGCGGCTTGAGCGCGTGCAATTGATGATTGGCACATTTCAGTTGTTTGTTTGATGCAGTCATGTTGCAAGAGTGTGGAATGCCGTCATGTGGAATCTCGTTTTTAAACGAAACGGAACAAACAAATGAAACACAAACAAATTTTGAGTGTTTTGTGCAATGCGCCTTGTTTTTGTTGCAGTTAGATTTTTGTTTGTTTGTCAGTTGGCGAGTGCAATTTTTGCGGAGATGGCTTGTTGAAGGGTTCTGATCAAACCACGGAGACATCCTCATTTCCTGAACATGTGCATGTCTGTCAATCGATTTTTTTGAGTTGGTGCTGCATACAATAGGG